TTTTTTTTAGCAGAAGTCCCATCTTTCTGACATTGGAAATATAACTATTGTAAATGTTTATTAAAATGCTTATGTTTTTAATTAAAATATAAGCATTGTCTGGTTAAAACTCTATTCTTTTGTTCTGGGAATGTGCTTCAAGGGTGCTGTGGGGGAGAACCCTGGCCAGTTGTCCTGGAGTTGAGGGGATTTACTGGGAATATTGAGAACGTGCATTTTTATGCCTCTCCCTCAACTTAGCACATTGGCTGGCTCTTTGAAAGCTGACTATAAGACAGAGCAGAGTAGTCTTCAACTTGGAAATATCTCATTTGGTGTTGGGAGTGGGACTTCTGGCATTGCTGAGAAGCCCAGTATCATAATGACCACCCCCATACCCTCCTCTAATGCTCCAGGTCCACGTTCCTGGTCATCCCTTCTTCCTTGACACATGCTGCTTTTGCCATTCCTTCTTCCTAGAACCTTCTTCTGTTCCTTTGTAATTCCCTTTTATATAACTGGAGGAAATCACAGGACTTGGGCAACACTGACCACAGGGTGAGGGAATACTTGACGTTTGCTCAGAAGAAAGGCATATGGGAGGAAAAATAACTTTTGATTGGAAGTTTTCTTTATCTTGGTCCGCTAGTGATGCCAAAAGGTATTTTACCCAAAACAGATTCCATTTTCAAGGCAGTCTAGAAAGAAAAGGGTTAAACACCATTGTTGCAAAACGTTTTAAGGCCTTATTAAAGTTATTAACGTTGCTATGTTAATAGCAACTCTCCTATACATTGCAAATTTGCAAGAGGAGAGTATGGCATGCTGCATAGAATAGTGCTTTTCTTTTTTTAAAGTATCATCTATGATCAGAATTTATGAACATAATTTAGGCAAAACTAATCAATATGGATACTTGAATCTTACAGATGAATCAGAACCTTTCAAAGTTCTATTTCTGGTAGATTCATTTTTTTTTTTTTTTAAATCCAAGGCTTACTTAGAGGTAGCATGGGAGAGGAAAATACAGAGGAGAGGAAGAGACTAAGTGTACGTAGAGGGAAGGAGCGTACAGGAGGAGAAAGGATGAAGAGGGAGAAGGCACTTGAAAAAGCAGTTGGGAGAGAAGAGAAAGCTGCTCGCTTAGAACAGTGATTTTCACCCTGCGTGCTGGTGGCACTCTGGTGTGACATAGGAGGATCTTAGGTGTGCTGCAAACATTTTTAAAGGGATTATTTATTAAATTATTTCCAAAAGAAGTTCCAAGCA